CATTAGACAGAGGTCTCCACATTGGTTCTGCGCTTACACATCACTCGGTGTGCAGGCCGCAAAAAACAAGTGTTATGTGTAAGGACAACAAAGATGTCGCGCTCTGCACATGCATGAGGCTAGTTGCTTATTACAATTTACCAAGAGGTAAATGATCAAATTTGATCACATTTCTGTTGCGATGACGAAAATGAGCGGGTTGGTGACGACACTGGCCTGCCAGAGCAACATTTATTTATAAGAAGTAAATCATGATAAGTTTATATGAATAGTAAACGTGAGAGGTACATTTGTTCCGTTTGCTATTTTGTATGTGCGTGTTATTAAGTATTACTGGAGAATTTTTTTTTGATATTCGCTAAACAGTTCATGTTGGTGTTTGTTTGATGGTTGAACACGTCGGGGGAATAGGAGGCGGTAGGACGCTCTGCAATATGAATTTTTGTTTGTCTTCATTTAAATCTATTTGTTGTAGAATTGTATTTAGTAATCGTAGTTCGTCTTGTGTGATTGAAAAGACTAGATTATGTTCTACAGTTGCTATTTTTTTGATGACTTTGTATGAATAACCTTGAGTAATAAATGTGAATATTAGCATCTTGTTTAGGTCGTAAAATACGACTAGGTGATTGTGCTTCTTGTCTTCTTTATCCTTTGTGACTGGAAGTTTGTATTAATATATTAGCATCAGGTAAATAGAATGAAGTATCAGGAACTTTAGAAAGAAATTTGTATCATGTTGAAAATCATGTAAAATTCGCATAATTTCTGAAAGCAAATATATATAATCAGAAAAAAGAATTATTTTATCATCAGGTTGCTCACGAAGTAAAAATATTTACGAAATCCTTCAGTTGTGTATTGTATGAACCCGATCAAGTATTATTACATCGTTCAATACATACGAACATTGGATAACTACTAATAATACAAATACAAGAGTCATTTATATTTATCTTTATCAGTTGAAGTAAACAATCGTATATTTGAATCATCAGCTGTTGATCAAATTTTAAATTGTTGTTTCCATTGTTAAACCGATACATTTGAATTACAAAGTATAAAGTAATTTTTATGTATTGTACAAGCAATTGTAACATCAGCCAAAGATTTTCCAGCACCACATGGTAGAATAATTAAACTAACTCGTGCGTGTTCATCACCAAATATATTTCTTAAACTTTTCTGGATAAGGTCGCAAAAGAGAATTATATATCGAATTTCAATATTTGAATTTTTCAATATCGTACCATGATGAAATCACATTCACCAAGTAATGAATATTCGAATTCTTGACATTGTTTTCATAAGAGTACAATTTTATTTGGAATAATTTCAAATGAAACTATGCTTAAATTTTTATCATCACGATTGATTTTTTCATATAAACGTTGATAAGATATTGAAATTTTTCTGTTATTTTATTTTTTAGCAATATTCTTCTATATTGTTACTAATCGACATTGTTGAATTTGCAAATATTGTAGAACGCTTTTTAAAGCTTCAAAAATAGCATTTTAAACAAAATTTCGATTATTTTTTATGACTAATTTTCCTTTTCCATTATTTAATGTATATAATTTAATGATACTCTTAGTTATTGTTATACTACTAATTCATTGTAAAGGTTCAATAGTAACATTAACTTGTAAACAAATAGATAGAGCTCCATGAAGTGAAGACAGTATTATGATGAATTTTAAAATTGTAAAAATTCGTTTACTGAAATTATAATTTCGGTTCAATGTTTGATTTAAGATATCATATTTTTAGAAAACTAATACACATACACACATTACAAGTAGCGAATTACTAAAAAAGAAAATGAAATTCAGAAAATACGATTATTCCTATCCTTGCAGATTTAAGTGATTACACCTATGAGAATGTTCAAGTTATTTATTAATTTAGAAAGCTTTTAGGTGGAAGATAAGGTTTTCTAAACTCTATTGTTAATACAACGTTGTGATAGCAATGCAGCAGCGCTAGATTTTCGGTGACGATGGACATCTATGCCTCGTACAACTAGTACATATTATAACGAAGCAAATCTTATCGAAAGTTTATTATTATGATATTGGTTGAAGTACAATTAAAGAGAATAGAAAAAAAGAGCATACATTTCTCTATCAAACTATATAGAGAAAAAGTTTCTTAAAGCTTTTCATAGAGAACTATCGAATCTTCACTACCACTGTTAGATTGTCCTAAGTAGTTTGTGATGTAATTAAAATAAAACAAGTCAAAATTAGAATATTTTCTCATTCTAGAATATACAAAATCGAATTATTGTAAAGTTGATTCATTTTTTCATGTCGAATTCTTGATAAGTTATTGATTTAATTTAGAGATTTGCAATACCAGTATAATGATCACCTCAAGTTCTTTAGTCTTTGTTTTCGGTAACATTTTTTTAATATTTTTAACAATATCAAATTGTTCTTCGAATAACTTATTCAAATATTCCTTTATATAATATATCATTTTGTTTTTCATTACCATTCTTTTAATATCTACACTTTGTGAAGAAACTCTAAAAGAATGAATGCTATTCATGGTTTACAATAAGTAACATCAATCCTATTTTTTTTATTTTTCACTACATCATAATGATAGTTAAATTTATTGAAGCCTTAGTAATTCTCTATAAACAAAAACAAAAATCTCGAAGAAAAAGAAAGATCAACACTCAAGATCATACCCATTGATCAACTAAACATAAATAATTAGTATTTACTCACGAAATAAAATGAAATCAAACTAAATAGCATCGTATTTTTTGGAATTAACGAATACAAATGTTTAACCAATTTACAAGATTTAAAACGTCTATTTTCGATGAATCATTTTACTAATCTTCATGTAATAAATAGAAAATTTTAATGAAACAAAAATTAGCAAATCGCTTTTTTCAATTATATACAAGTTTAAACAAAACTCTTTTATATATAGGAATGAACTTTCAAAATATTAGCATTCTAAATACTTATTTTCATGCATTTTAACATTTTACAATTGAAGTAACAACTAAACAATTCATACGGAAAATAACAAATCAGTTACCTTAGGCAACAATAAAAGACACATTCTCCAACGAGATGATGAACTAAATTCATCTAGAATTTAGTTCCTATCGATTTACCTTACAATATATGAGATAAACAAATTTTTCAAAAAGAAAATATATGTTTATTAATAGAGAATGATTATGTTCATAATCCATCAAAGGTCTCTATGTTATTGTCGATTTTTCTAGTATACATGACAACATTGATTCGTGCATCTTCACACACTGTTTTTTTTTTACAATAGAATTATAGAAACTCTTATGCATGAAAAAAATGTGTACCAAATAAAGTAAGACGAATTAAGTTCTGCGACATGTCACATAAAGAAAACAAAATTATTTATTTAGCTTATATGAAAAAAACATCATAATCATTATTTGTTCAATATTTAAACGAAAAGAATAAAATGATCTATACGAAAATGTTAGATTCAATTGATGTGTTTGATAACTAAATAGAAAAAAAATCATTCAAGAACAGTCGACCGTAAACGAATTATTGAGATCAATCATCTTGTTGACATTGAAAATGTTTTGTTGTCAGAATGATGAAGGAAAAAAAATATAAAACTATGACAAAATAAATCGTTTTCTTTCTTTTTTCTTCTGTTTTATTTTGTTCACTTCATAAATATTTTTTAAGTGAAGAAAAGTATGTCTCCATAGACAAAGGCAATTTATATTCATTGCTTTCTCTCTTTTTTCTTTACATTTCTTTGATTTCTCTCCATTTATTTGTCAAAAGACAAGAAATAGGTAGACATTGAATTTACGAAGTCATATAATTAAAAAAATAAAATAAAATATACATACATTTTCCTAGGTTTTAAGTGACAACAAGAATTCTAAATGAATGTAAATACAGGACTTTTTCCTCCATATGGTTGTCGTCGTAAAAATTCAACAGCAGCTTATCATTTACCATTAAATAATCAGCAACATCATCATGTATCTGCATTACAAAGTGCACGTTCATCAATTGAAAGTACAAATGGTATTAATGAATCATTTTTACCATTAATATCAACTGGTAATGGTAATAGTGATAGTCATAAACCTTATCGTCGAAATGATTTTGCTAATAATCATTTATTTATTGCTAAACGTAAATTAGCTCGAGTTTTTCTTGGACAACCATCAAGAAGTTTACAAGCAACAAGTGATCTTATTCATTTATTTGATCAACAAAAACCAAAACGAAAAAATCGAAATGTAAATGATCAACAACGACAGGTGAATTTCTTTTTTTTCTTTTTTTTAATTAATGTAATAAAATTAAATTTTTTGAAAAAATTTCATTTTCATTTAGGAAGATAAAACTTCATCAATTGAACACAATTCTCATTTATCTGTTGTTGATCTTGTTATGAGACCTCCATATCCAGTAACACAAACTCGTGATCCATTATCAGCAATAGTACGTAATCGTCGTTCTCAAACAATTAATTGTTCTGCTAAAATTCGTCACTCATCAACTGATGCAATGAGTTTATCAGCTAAACCAAATCTTCTATCAACAACACTTCATGCATGTACAGATGATAATGAATTTGATGAACTAATCGATAATGATAATGTATCGGATACTATAAGCACAGCAATCGGTCCATTTGATTCAACACTACTATGTGTTAAATCGATTATTCCTTCAGCTGGACCACAACATACAAATCATCATTTGTTACAACATCGTTAATTTATCTTTGTTTTTTAAACAAATATAATACTATTGTTTGTTGTTTGAAAATAATGGCTTTTTCTTTCTTGTATGATGAAAAGACAGTAGATCATTTTTTATGTTATGCTCTGATGTTTTACAAGGTTTTGTTTTTTTTTTCTTTATTTCATGACAGATTATATACTTGACAATTGATCGTATTGATCATTGAAATTTCAACATTTTTCTTAGTTAGCGCTAAAATTAAATTAATGAACTATTGAATGAAATCGAAGAAAAAAGCTGAAATACGAGATATACAATCAAAAGAAGAATGGGATATAATGTTAAACAAAGAAGGCTTAAAATAAGTCTTTATTTCGTCTTATTTTCTTAATTTATCATCGTTTTATATTTGAAAAAAATATTTTCAATTCATTAACTTCTTTTGTTTTTTTTTGTACAGTAATTGATGTTTATCAAGAATGGGCTGGTTCAACCATTGTATTAGAAGATATTTTTCTTAAACTTAAACGTAATTTAATACAAACAGAATATTTAACATTCTATTCAGCGAATTGTGAAAATATTGAATCACTTAAACGTTATCGTGGTTATTGTGAACCATTATTACTTTTTTTTGGAGTATTTTTGTCAGAATTAATATGTATATTATTTTTAATGAATCTAATCTTTTAGAGCAATGTTTTAGTACATATACAATATCATATGAATGCACCGCAAATAGAAAAATCTATTGAAGAACAACTCAATAAAGAATTACAAGTAATTAAAGAAAATCGTAAACGAGAACCTGTAAGTTAAATGAATATTTTCATCAATATATATTTTATCAGTAGTTATCATAGATTGATGATTCATTTCTAACGAAATATTCAGAAAATAGTGGTACTCAACAATTGAATGGCATTGTTAATAGAGAATCGTTTTCAATGGAACCTATATGTAAAAAAAACCATATATTTTTTGCTTCATATTAACCAAAAATTTTTATTAATTTTTTTCTTATGTTTAGTATATAAAAGTGAATCATTAAGTTTACGAAGTTTATTAATGAAAACAGCGGAAAAAATCGATCAAGATTATTGGCTTAGTCAAGGTGTTTCCTTTTTTTTTTCTAAAATTTTATTCTAATTTATGTTTATCTATCTAGAACCATATAAATTAGATGTTGCACTTTTTGTTATTAAACCTGATCTTGTTGCTAATGGAAAAAAAGATGAAATTTTAGATCATGTAAAAATAATTAAAATAAAATAGAAATTTATCTTATATATGAAATATTTTATAGTTACGTAATAAAGGATTTATTATTCATACACATGCTGATAAGTTATTAAATGATGAAGATATGATAAAAATTTTTAAACCAGTATATTTATTTATCATGATTTTTAATATTATTTTATTTCGTATAGGATTCGAATATTCTTAATGAATTTATACGATTTATGTATAGTGGTCCAAGTACGTATGCAGTAGTATCAAAAGGTCATACAGGACGATCAACATCGGATGATCTTCATCATATAGTTGGTTTAAATAATCCAGATTTAGCTAAAGAACATAATCCTGAATGTTTAACTGCAATTTATGGAACCGATACTATTTTAAATGGATTTTATTCAAGTCATTCAAATAATGAAGCTCTAAAGTTTATATTTTGAATATTATTGACGAGAGAATTCCTCTAACCATTCAATCACTTTTAACTTGAGATTATGTGAATAATGTAGATCCAAATCAGCTATGAATACTTTAAAAAGAGTTTTTGTCATGAGCTTATCGCTATGAAAATCTAAGAGTTTGTCGGTATTTTTTCAATGAATATCGTGGTAACAGAAAAACCAATTTTTGAATTTTGATTTGAAACTCGTCATAGAGAGACAGATCTTAATGAGAATAGTTTTTATGAATGTCGCTGTTCTTACCTTAAGATACAATAGTAGTGATAACGTGTCTATAACATCATTGACATAACCAAGCAGATTTGATATTTTTGTTTCCGAACAGGAGCGCATCGAAAGATTTGCAATTATTCCCGTTAAAGGGTGTCTCTACTTAAAGTTTCAAATCAAAATCCTAAACTCACTTTTTCTGTTATCTTCACATTCATTTAAAAATTATCGTAAAAGTCTAGTATTTTCATAGCAATAAACTAAGGACGCGAGCTATTTTCCAAGTATTCATACCTCATATCAGTCTACATAGTCTCGACTCTAAAGTAATTGAACATTTAGAAAAGTTCCTTCATTAGAAATGATTTATTTATATATATGTATTTACTTGTATTTTGTGTAGGGAAATTCAAATTATTTTTCCCGAATATCATCAACCTTTAGTTAAAGGAAAATCTATTGATGAATATGTTCATAAAACAGCAACTTTGTGTCTTCTTGGGCCGGCACAGGTACGATCCAAAAAAGGTATATGAAAATAATGTTCATTTAATAATATTAAATTGAGATACCTTCATCAAATCAAGCAAGATGAAGAAAAGTTAAGCGTTTATTTTCAAAGTCAGTGACAGGATATAAATACTTTCTTCTAACAAGTCGAATACTCTTCCGTTCTTTCGTAAATATGCAACTGTAGAATACATTTGATATGTTTCATAAGCAGCTACAAAATGATACAATTTGTTTTTTGATATAACTTTCCACTGAATAGAAAAACGAAAAATACTTGAAATTAGAACTACTTTTTTTAATGTACTTTTTCAACTTTTTTTCATGAGTAGATTTGACCCACAAATAAACTGTACTATTTTGTAGGTACTCATAGGACACGTCGAATGAGTTCTATAGTAAAATGAAACGTTTAATAGCAACCGAAAAAAGAGTAAGTGCTTTCAGTATCTATCAGAAACAAAAACCAAAGAATTGGCAATTTTTCTGCTGAAATTCTGAATTTTCTTTTCTATATTATAAAATCAGAAAGAGAGATTAGATATTTTTCGAAGACGAATGATTTCGTATGTGTAAAAGAACTAAGAAACAAAAACTTATTTATATATATATGAATCAAATCCAAAACGTATTTATCAATTTGCAAATTCCAAAAGAAAAATTGCAGATCAATGACTGTAGTTTCTGGTAGAAATATAATTGTGTATACTGTTTTTATAACTCAGAAGCTATTATTCAAGCAATAATACAACATGGATTTGAAGTACGTTACGAAAAAACGTATACATTTCGACCGGATGAAGTTGAATCATTATATATTAAACATCGTAACGATGATTTTTTCAAAGCATTAGTTGAAGCTTATACAGAGTACGATGAAATTTAATAAAAAATAACTTTCTTTGAGTATTATATATTTAAATAGTGGTCCTTGTTTGCTACTTTACGTAGCCAAAGAAAATTGCGTAGCCGATTTTTGTAAACTTCTCGGTCCATTTTCACGTGAAGAATTTAGTAAAATGCCTGGAACGTATGTTTATTTTGCTTCTTTTAAAAATAATAAGTCATTTGATATTTCATTTAATAGACTTCGACATGATTTTGACGAAATAACAATTCCTGTGGTAAATAATCCTTTTCTTTTTTCATTAATAATTAAGACTCATGAAATAATCAAATTCAGACGACAATTCATGGTTCTGAAAGTATTATTGATGCACGAAAAGAACTGGAACAGTTTTTTCCATATCAACAAACACTCACTATTATTAAACCAGGATTAACTCTAAATCAAAAAAGTATTTAAATTAAATAAAACGATATGAAAATAAATTCGCCAAATTTAGATGATATTATTAAACGATTAAATTTAAATGGTTTTACAATTATGATTAAAGAAACAAGACATTTAACAAAAGATATTCTTACTCAGTTCTATGCTCGACATCAAGGCTTACCTTGGTTTAGTGATTTTATTCAATTTATGTGCAGGTAGACAGATATATCAATTTTTTGTTTTTACTACTAATTATCTATTTCACAGTGATGCTTGTGAAATAATCATTCTTGCACGAGAAGATGCTGGTAAGAAAAAATAATGAACTTGATTAAGCTTTCGAATAATCGTATTTACTTATTAATATTTTAAGATCAATTACAAAAAGAAATAGTGAGAGACCATCCATAGAGTCTACTCAGTAAAAGTCGGACAATGAAAAAAGTGCGAGTAATCAGACATATTTGAACGTTCGGACTAGTTTCCTAAAATTTGATTGAGTATCCAGCAACCGATCTAGAGCATGGTCGGTGTGTACAAACTCGTCATATATTTTGGATCGTAGGTGTGATCTCATATTCGAATCCAACCCGACAGTTAATGAGATTTTGACATTTCAAAAGTATATTTTAGTGTTTTACTAAAAGAATTCGTTTTTAATGAAAACTTATCTTTTTTTAGTATTTTTTAAGAAAATTCCTAATCAGTATTTTCAAAAGAGTAACTTCTCAGATCTCTACAACGTATCATGTACGAATAAATCGTTTATATAAATTGTTTAATAGAGAAAAGGGTATATTTGAGCAAACAGGCTTTTCTTCAATAAATTTGAACATTTCATAGGTCAAAAGTGATAAAATTTATAATTTCTAGTTCAAGCTTTGCGTGAAATAATGGGTCCTGTTGATCCTGTACGTGCAAAAACCGATGCACCAGAATCGTAAATTATTCGTATTTTAAAAATCTTCATTATAATTTTTAATTAATTGAAGAATTCGAGCAATTTATGGTTTGGATATAATGCGTAATGGTTTACATGCATCATCAAATAATAAACATGCACGTGAAGAAATTCGATTACTTGTTCCTGATTATGAATTTATTAAGAGTAGACCAATACCATTTCATTCGAATGTTTTACGAAGTTTGTTTTCATAGTTTTTTTTTATCTGAATTTTTTTTATTTATAATCTTACGTTCATTTAGCTGATTCGATTATTTCGAATGATTTACCAATTCATGATGAAAATGATTTGTATCATCTTGAATCACATGGTAAAATAATCATCAAATCAAAATAAAACTTCAAATTTTTATTTTTTCATCAAGAAATCATCTATGAATTAGCTGTACATACACATACAAATGATAATGAAAATGAAGAATCAGCAGTTTTTCTTACATTAGTTGGTAAAAAAAATGAAACAAAAAAATTTCTTCTTCAATATGCTGATAATACTATTCATCCTCTACAAACGAATCAAATTGATTTATTTCATTTTATTGATCAAGATATTGGTGTTGTAAGTAAATAGATATAATCGAATGAAGAGAATTTTATTTTATTTTATTTTTTTTTTTTTTTATAAAAGCCAAAAATGATTAAAGTTTCACATGATGGACGAGGTTTTCCTGACAATTGGTCTTTAGCAAATATTGAAGTTACAATTCCATATCGAAATAAGATATTTAAGTAAAATCAACTTCAATATATTTTATGTTAAATAAAATATATTTATCTAGATTTGATATCAATGAATTAATCAATGAAGAAAAAGCTAAAATCGGTTATCCAGTGACTGATATTAAAGGTATATTGGTGGTTTTATTTATTTCCAGAAGTGTTCCGATCGGGGAAACGATCCTCAGTTTTGAAAAAACAAGCTTAACCCTCCCCACAAAATTTGATCAAGGTTATCAAAAATGTTTTCATCCATCTCTTCGAGTTCTCGATAGGGAACTGCAAAATCACTTTTTTTAGTCCCGGTCCCGGTCAAATATTTTCTTTTAGTCCCGGTCCCGGTCCCGGTCCCGGTCAAATTTTTTTCCAGTCCCGGTCCCGGTCCCGGTCTTTGACAATGGTTTCATTTCTAAAATCGAGCAACTTTTTTTACGATCTGTGTACTTTTATGAATACATAAAATTGACATGAATAATTTTGATTCGTTAACAGTACGAAAATTCTTTTATATCCAGTGTTAAAATGAAAGAATTTCACTGAAAGCTCGAATAAATAAAAATAACCATTGAATTTTGTTAAAAATTCTCATATACTTCGTAGCAGTCATTTACTTATTTCTCTCTTCTTTTATATCCACTGCTCTACCTAGTGGATCTATTGTCGAATTGATTATTTATACTGAGTAGCCATTACGATTGTCAAAAAAAAAATAAACGGCGATACATATCGATTTACTATTATCTGATAAGACTTCAATAAAGGAATCATCAAAGAATGAACAAATTAAACTTACGTATATAGTGTTGTGTTGGTTGTTTTATATGTATTCAAAAACCTGTGCAATTGGAAAACTCAGATTCTTGCAAACAGACTCGTAATCAGTAAAGACTTTTATAGAAACAGCAAATAAAAATATCTGATTTACAGATCTTAAATCATGTCAAAATAATAAACGTGAAAATATATTGCATAAAAACTGACCGGGACCAATGTGAAAAATTTTTAGTCCCGGTCCCGGTCCCGGTCCCGTAAAAAAGTCAAATTTTGGTCCCGGTCCCGGTCCCGCCGGGACCGGGACCGGGACCACTTTGCAGTTCCCTAGTTCTCGATCCCTCTCGTTCTCCATTTTGGCGATCTCAGGACATCCCTGAATTACTTCTTAAGGTTTTCTTACATTTGTAGATGTCGAAGCTACGACTAACGGTAATTGTGCTATTATTATACAAACAGGCAGTGCTAAATATGCAGGTACATTAGCTGATTGCAGGTATGATTTTGTAATTTTGTTTTGCTATCATTCTTAATTAAGAAAAAAAGACTTTTTTATGATACAAAAATAAGCAGAAAGAAAAAAAAAACTTTTTACTACGTTCAGAATCAACTATCTACCTATAGTAGCATAACTAATTTATTTTCATATAGAAAGCTTCAAGAAACTTTCTTTCTATCAACAGTGATTAGAAAATAATGCTCTATTTTTTCTGTAATATTTCATCAATACTATTGAAATAGAATTTTACTTTTCATGTGTTGGTACTTAATTAATTAAAAATTTTCGATTAATCAAAAAAGAGCATTATATAAACAAAAAGAAAAAAAAATCAACAATAAATTGATAAACGAAATTCATCTAATCAATAATAACATTAAAATCTTCAAATATATATATAATAATAATAGTTTTGTATTTATATAAACGAGCACAAGCAAGAATATGCTTGATGTAATCGATGTAGCAAGCTGTGTTGTTGTGTGAGAAAAGAATATCAACATCCACATCCATATCATAACAAAACAATTCATGGAAATTTTATTGTTATGAGATTGATAGAAGAGCAATGAAATATCACAAAATTGTTTTTTTACTGTTACCATTTATATTTAAAAAAAAAGTTTCTGCAAGTTTTCTATATGGAAACGAAGAGTACTTCTATTACAACTTTTAAATTGCTCTAAATATGTTGTTTTGTACTTGAACATTTTTATTTTCGTAGTATTCTTTTATCGGGTTCACAAGGTGTTTATGCATTTCAACTTCGTAGATCATTAACAAATCCAATACCATTTCAAAATCGATATCGTGATATATTTCTTGTTAAAGTTGATGAACAACTTAATGATATTGAGTATGTTGTACTTGAACATAATAATGAAAATTCTTCACCGGCTTGGTTTGTTGATTTTGTTATTATTAAACTTTTATTGAATAAACAAGAATATTTGTATGTATTCAATTTGAAATTACACAATAAAAAAATTAGTCAAAATAAGAAAAATATTTTTCAAATTTTCTTTAAGTTTTTCTGTTCATCGATGGCTTTCAATAGATTATTTTGATGGCAAAACTAAAATAACACTTTCATCAAATACACAAAAAATACCATCAAATGAAAGTTCGATCATTATTTTATTTTATTTTTTTGATATAATATCAAATCATTTTATTTTATACATAGATCTATTAGAAAATCGATCGAATGGTACGTATAAATATGAATATAAATCTATTATTGTGTAGTTATTCGATATGAAATTTATATTGTAACGGGTTCAATGTTTGATGCAGCAACATGTTCACCTGTATGGATAACAATCAATGGAACACGAAGTTCAATTGTTAACAAATATCTTGAAATTGCTGAAAATGAATCATTTCCATTTGAACCTAATAATCAAGATCTATTCGTTTTGTATGATATAGATATTGGTGAAGTATATTGAAATAGCATTTCGATTTATATTAAATAGAAAAAAGAAAGAATTTATTTGTTTTTTTTTTCTAGATTGATAAATTGATTTTAGGTCATGAAAATATAAATGCTGAACAAGGTTGGTTTGTCCAATCAATATCAATTCATATTCCATCGAAACAATATCAGAGTGAAATGTAGAAATTTCAATTTTTTGTTTTCAATCAAATATTTATGTTATTTATATAGATATAAGATTAATAAATGGTTAAATTCAAAACGAATAGATGGTGTACCACTTGTTGAAATTCAAATACGAAAACCTATTAAATGTAAGATGATAATAATACGAAAAAAATTTTCTGAATAATGATAGAAAACAAATTAAATTATATAGATAAAACAACTTGAGAGAGAAAATTCGATAAGTTCTAAAATTGTCCAAGGAAGAAGTAAAGGCTCAGTTTTTTCTATAAACAAGTGGCATTTTATATTCACTAATAGCTTCAGAAGTTTTCAGGAGACAAAAGATTTATACCACAAATTGAGTTTTCATCAATGATTACATCATGGAAAAAAGAATTCAAGTTTATTATTAGAAGGTAGAAAGGTACCTTACTTGATTAATATGAAATTTAACATTTAGAATAAGATCATTTCATACAATCAGAATTGTAAAAACTTGATTATAGAGAGCTGTATTCAAAGCTTTTAAAACAATTCGCAAATCAGGTCTTATAATGAGCCGCCCAGTCCGCCTTCTTTTGCACCTTACACCTGATACGAATCATGAGTCTTTCATTATGCGAACGCTTTAGAAGTTTTATTCAGCCAATAAAAACAGAGCATTTATTTGGTTCAATGACATTCCTGATCAGTACACAACACTGAATGCACTATTAACTACATGAAGTGACATGAAAGTTACTGAAGTGGAACAATGTTAACTGTGTCACTAAAAATAGTAATCTTTCTGATTCTTTGAATTGATCAGCAGGTATTTTACTCGTAAAAACTTATGTTAATAAATAGTAGGGTTCAAGACGTTGAAGTACTCACAATGGTTCATTCTTTAATTTGACTAAGTTCTCATACTGTTTTTTTCAAGTAATAAAATTCTATAACCTTACTCAACTAATGAGCACTATAATAATAAACTTTTTACAATGTTCTAATAAATGACTGCAATGAAAAGACCATAACCTCTGATGTTTTTCTTTCGATATCTTCATATCTCATAAGCATGTTGAACTACGTACCAAATAACTTACTCATCCTACTGATTGTATGACAAATAACTCATAAGAGTCCTGTATAGAATTGATTCATCTCTTCTTTTGTTTTAGAAAAAAACAAAAAAAAAAAAATTTTTCCAAATCTTCATATTTTATAATTTGTTTTCATAATAGTGAATCGAAACATAAAAAATCAACATACAGCTATACCACAACTGATATCAAATGCAATGATAGTTTCAACTCATGAATATGGTATAAGACTTGAATACAAACTTTTCTTATTCTTGTATTGAACTGATCTAATTATTTTTTTTTTCTTGTTCTTATTAGAATCATCTTATACGATATATATTTTGACTGAAGATTTTCAATCTGATATACACAAACCAAATATTTTCATTAATTTAATAAATGAGACAATGATGACAAATTATATGCGATTGACTAGTCAATTACCAATTCGTGAAAATTTAGAAAAAGATGTTTTAGGCAAATTCAAAGCGTCTGGAATAAGAATTGAAAATGTACGATATTTTGAAATTGAGTTTATGAATTTCATTGTAACGGGCGGACTCAAATATTAGAAAATTCATCTTTACGTTTGTTACAGAAAACTGAGAGAATTTTTAAAGATGCTTAAAAGTTACATTCAATAGTGAGTTGTTTTTCGAAAGTGCTACATATTATTTGAGTCGATTGATCTTTCAAGCGAACACTTCTGTACAAAATGTTATAATGAATTAACCTGTAGCTTTTATCTAAATGAAGCGATAGACACTTCATCAAGAGATGTTTTCTGTGTAAAATGCTTGTTAGTCAAAAAGTCTATTTTTCAAATACGAGAATTAAAGAAAAACGAAAACTAAAGTGTTCAATCGAAAGACAAAAGTTTGAATAGTATATTTTGTAGAGTAGCCTCTACTGTACAGGCTAATACATTACAAAAAGCTGTAACTCTTACTTTCTAGTCACAGTGGTGAAATGACTAAAGTCGACGGAAAAATTTTTCATCTAAACGTTGTGTTCGGAGTCTCTCAAAGATTATTTCACTAGAATCGAACAAAAAGACTACAAAAAAATTCCCAAGCTCATATTTAGAAATAGAGTAAAATTCTGGTCCTAACTTATCATTTTCGATTGATTAGAAACACTTTCAGAGAAGTCAAAAACAAGCGAAAATTTCATCAAAAAATTTTCAATTCACTCGTTATACTTGATTCTTTTCTAGATCAATACAATTCGTCTACTTCTTCGTATGTCAAAAGAATTTTAATAAGAAAACTAATCTATTTTCTAATTCAAGGTTCACCTGATCAAATAACACGTTGGTTACCACGATTTATTCTTATTATAATTGATGATACACAAAAAATATTTCAGTAAGAAAAAAAAGCTAGGAAACTAAAATTCTTTTTCTATATAAAATATTTTGTCAAGATTTAAAAATTCAAAATGGTTTTCTTGTTCGAACAGAGATAATTCCGAAACAATAATTATTCAATTAGATTCCACTCGAACTGAATTATTAAATAAAAACTCTAACGATTCTTATCAATCATCATTCGAAGACCTTCAAAATATTAATTTAAAAGTATCAAATATGAGCATTCAACAAATTGAAAATCAATTAGATACAATCAAAAAATTTTACACGAATGAAACAGGAAAACTTGTTATTGATAAACGAGATTTAGAAGAATATAATGAATAAATGAAAGATTTCTTGTATAAATTGAGAAAATATATTTTGCAATGTTTTATCCAACATGGGAACAGCGTCTCAACAAACATCGGACTGATCCTTCCAGAAGAGAAAATCTATATAAAATATTGATGCTTTGAGTCTATATAAAGAATTTTCTATTGAAGATCTTAGTATGAATTGTTGCAATTAACTAGTGTGACTCAGCTTATTCATGATACCACTTCAAATTACACAAAATTGTGTAGAACACGTTGACTTACACAGCATGAGCTATCTATATAAGTAATGCTAAGAAAATGCTTAGATTTATATTTAATTAATGTCATTGAGCAAAACAATTGATAAAAAATATTTAATGAAATTTCATATGAATCATAAATAAGGGCTCTATTGTTATAAATAAAAGAGGAAAATAAAACTCTATTCATTGTGATAATAAAGAATTACTGTCTTTCATTACATTCATATACAGTAGTTGTCAAAGTTATCGAATCAGTAGATTATTTTATTTTTGTATATATATATCTCTAAGCCTAAATCAACTAAAATGAGTTATTTTTTTGTCAAATTATAGGTCATAGTCTCTAGTATATATTAGTAAAAAATGTCAGGTCATTGATTGTTCTAGTTTATATTTATTGACAATATAATTTATGCAGGCTGTTTTTCATCCTTCTAAAATTAGCAAATAATATGTTTTTGCAATCTGATGCACGTCTATTGTAAATTGAAATTCTATTTATATAACATAATTTCAATAGAATAAATTGTGGGCGCTAGGTCAGGAATATTTTCATGAAAGTTTCTCTTTGAATGGGAGTTAAAAATAAAATATGTTTTTTTGATCTATCTATACCGGAAATTTTCAACAAAAGATATTTTTGTTCATATAAGATTTAGTCAGTTTTATTTCTCAATATATCAATAGCAAGAATACTATGAAATAGTTCAAGCAAGAGACTGGATACGTATCTCAATCAAACAAAGAGACATGATGTTAATATTGACATTGAGTTATTTGTTCTAAATTTTATCCTATTTCTATATTCAAGTCAATGATTCTATCGCCCGGATTCATGGGCTTCCCGTCGAAAAACTCCGGTAAATAGTACGAACTTAGAAGAATGATCCGATAATTGTATCTCGACATCAGTTCTATCCGGTTCCGAACGGAACTGGATAAATTTGCACACCAAATTTAATCATTAAATTTCTCTTTCCAGGTTCCTACCAGTTTCTAGTCGTACCACATTGATCTAGGTACAAACATCACGCACAAAAATTAGTGATACTTTTAATTACAAATAGAAAAGTTTTGTATGGTAAAAGATTTCCTCAAAATTTATGCTATAAAAACAAGTCTCAGTAATTTCTTTAATATATGAATATATTTGTACACATTGGAGACGACCAACACAATTTTCAAACACAATGAAGTATTAATTCATATTGAATATCTTATGCAATCTGTAATATTTTTGCTATAGATATATTGAACAATAAAACTGGCTATACATCATATAAACAAAAAATGTCTTCTGTTGAAAATTTTCTGTATGGGTCAAAAAAAAACATTGTTTCTTTAACTCGCAATCAAAGAAAAGTTATTATAAATAAAACCCTTTAACAACAAGACAGCTCATTATATCAAATTAATTATGTATTATAAAGGAAATATTATCTGACAGTAAATGCGCAATATTTTACAAACACAACATGAAAAACGGCATGTCGTGATTGTATTGTCAATAATAGCTACAGACATCAATGGATAAAATTTGAAATTTTATATTAATGTATTAGAGATTATGCACTGTACACTGACGAAACACCAAATCATTCTAGTTCATATGAACCACTTTCACCTTATTCACAATTCTCTCATCCTCATGCAGTATTATATGTGTAAATTACACCAATCAGTATGAAGATATGACTAACAGGTAAAATGTGCTATTGCTTCGAAAGATGCTTTTGTTTTCTTTCTCCAGCTGTTCAAATAAACGCCTAGTGTCAATAATAATTGTGTAGTAATACTAGCGACATCTATAAAAATAACTTATTTCTTAATATAACTTAATTTTCTTTTTCTAAAACAATTTTTTCGATATTTTTATAAATATATTTTTCTAAGATTTGTTCTTCTATTTAAATTTTTTTCATTAAAACAAAGATAAAATTGCAAGTATAGAGAATCAATCTTCATTAATGGCTTCGGCCATTGTATTCTATTCTATTTTGTGTGCTTATGTATTGGCTGCCTCCATCATCATCATGATCAAATGTGTGTTGTTTTTTTTATGTTTTTTATATTTTTATCTTAATCCTAATTTATTAATTTCTTTAAAATTTTATTTTAATTTTTAATAGTTCGTCGAATGTGAGCCTTGTATTATAATTATAAACAAAAATAAAATTTGTCTCATTTGAGCATTTTATTGACATATCCTCATTCAAAATATCTTTAATCAAATATTCATTTTGTTATTGACAATGTTTCTTCCACCTATTGGTCAACCACCATTATCATCATCATTACATGGAAATGAAACAATGAATGGTACAACTATTATAAATACAAGTACAAGTTCATCAGGTTCATCATCAACAAACGCAATTGGTCTTCCACCACCACCTCATATGACATCAATGCCATCAACACCACCTGGTTCAGGTATAATGACAATGCTTAATCCTCCACTTGATTTATCACCACCACCACGACCGGATTTTGGTCGTGAAGGTCGTTCAATTAAATTACGTGCAAATCATTTTTCAATACGTATTCCACCTATACTTATACAACATTATGATCTTAATATACAACCAGATAAATGTCCTAAACGTGTTAATCGTGAAATAATTGATACAATGGTTAATAAATTTCAAAATATATTTAATTCACAACATCCAGCATTTGATGGTAAAAGAAATTTATATACAAAAGATCCATTACCATTTGGTCGTGATCGTATTGAACTTGAAGTAACATTACCTGGACCTGGTGAAGGACGTGATCGTTGTTTTAAAGTACAAATTAAATGGGTTGCACAAGTTAGTTTAGTTAGTTTACAAGAAGCTTTACAAGGACATGGTCCACCAGTACCAAATGAAGCTGTTTCTGCACTTGATGTTATTATGAGACATTTACCAAGTATGAAGTAAGTAATTGATTATAAATGTTAAGTTTGTTATAAATTTTTGTATTTAATATTTATTAAGAATTTATAGGTAGTAAGTTTTGTTAAGCTTATTATATTGACTTCTGTTTGTTTTTTGTTATTGTTCAATCAGTTATATTTCTTGATGTTTTATTTTTGTTGCTTAGATATACACCAGTTGGTCGTTCATTTTTTTCACCACCTGATGTTCAATATAATCCATTGGGTGGTGGTCGTGAAGTATGGTTTGGTTTTCATCAATCTGTTCGACCATCATATTGGCGAATGTCATTAAATATTGATGGTTAATATTCTTCTTTTGTTTTTTTGCTAATTTCGAACCCAATAATTTCTCATATATTCTAGTTAGTGCTACGGCTTTTTATAAATCACAACCTGTCATTGATTTTATGTGTGAAGTACTTGATATACGAGATATTCAAGAACAACGACGTCCATTAAATGATGCACAACGAGTTAAATTTACAAAAGAAATTAAAGGTTTGTAAGAACATAAATGTTTTTGAATAGTGATGAAAACTACTTAACTGTCAAGTAGATGTCGCCACTGAGAAGAAGAAAAAAAAAAGAAATTTATACTATTGTTCTTAAACACGATTGATTTTTTTTTCTTGTTAGTAATCAAAAAAACAGACTTATCCATAAGACAGGACATTCTGTACTATTGTATGTTATGAAAAATCGGTCCATAGCAAGGATCATATATACGTGTTTTTATATAATTGATGCTGAATTGATTTATTCTTTCTGCTCTATATTTCGGAGGACTACTGTACAGTGTTTTTCTTTATATATGTCTCCAATCCTAGAAGTTCTAGATGATAAATCTATTTTTGCAAATATAATGATATTTAGGTTACCCTCGATTCCAGGGGTTGCTGAAGAACGGTTTGTTAGAAATATTCAAAGTAGATAGAGTTAGTATTTACGAATGTTGTCTTCTATGAGATATTGGGATTACAATCGATCGAATTTTCGTCTGTATTTCTTTGAAACGCTATGTTCAATCGAGGCAATAATCTTTTGTATTTTTGGAAACAAATAAAAACTAATCATTTCAAACAGTGTATAGTATATGTGAAAAAAGTTTCAGCTCGAACGAAACGCGTGTGTACACATATTTCTTAATAGAAGAAATTGGTTCCAGAAAAAATGCAATTACATAAATTTAATTTGTCAACTTGTAAAGACAATTTTTCACTCGCGAAACGAATGAGAATATTTTTGAACGAAGTTTTCAGGAACATTTGTTCGACTTTACTAACCATTTTTAATTCAATAAAGTAAACTACAACTATCCCATATGCATCCGTAAAAAAGGAAATCTCTTAAGTATATGTTCAAATTCGCTAGATTTATTAAACATATAATTAAAAAGAGTTCGTATTAATTTTAGGTCTTAAAATTGAAATAACTCATTGTGGTAATATGAAACGTAAGTATCGTGTTTGTAATGTAACACGAAAACCTGCACAATATCAAACGTAAGTTACAAATGAACTAATTCAAAACAAAAGTATTATTATTATTATTATTTTTTCTTTAATTCCAATTCAGATTTCCTCTTCAACTTGAAAGTGGTCAAACTGTTGAATGTACTGTTGCTAAATATTTCTATGAAAAACATCGTATGAAATTGCAATATCCACATTTGCCATGTTTACAAGTTGGTCAAGAACAAAAACATACTTATTTACCACTTGAAGTATAAATTTCTTAATAGAACAAAAAAAAAATTAATTAATTTTTTTTTAATAAATTCTTATAGGTTTGTAATATTGTTCCAGGACAACGATGTATTAAAAAATTAACTGATATGCAAAC